TATTTTTATATTAACAGTTTAGAAATAAATTCGCGAACAGGTATATATATTATCGAAAATTCAACAAAAATTTTCATATATACAATCATTATTATTAAATATATATTTATTAAATTAATTCCACTAACAATTTTTGAAAGAAACAAGATACTAATACGATTGTCCTATCGTTCACATTCAATATTTTTTCTTCTCTCCTTAATAACTAGAAATAATTTATTATTGATCCTTCCTTGTGGGAGGTGAGGGGTGGGGGTGGGAGGTATCCTAGCCATGGAAAACAATATATTTGAAATTCCGTAAGATGTTCAACCCGTTCTAAAGAATTTCGAATTCGATCTTAGGTTAAAGTCTTAACGTATTCTCAACTCGTTCACTTTCAAAGCTATTAATTTAAAGTACTTCTATACTACTATATATATATATCGATCCCATTGCAGCAGCAGCAGCAGCAGACATTTAAACAGTCACGTTCGGTGTACGATCGATAAACACGACAGGTGAATCTAAAAACGAACGAGGAAATAGCATCCATTTCTTATTTTCTTTTAGTATGTGTCCTCTCCATTGGGGATTACGTTACTTTCCTTTCCTGTTAAAAATTGAAACGCGTAATAATAATATATCAAACGAAAAAAAAAATATTCTCCCGATGAGAACTCATTCTTATCGATATCTTTATATTTCTTTTCTTTTCTTTTTTTTTTTTCATTTTCGATAAAAAACACACGACGACATCATACACGATAATTTATTTCTATATTCACTGTAACGTTTATTTAAAAAGAAATATAATTACAAGGACAATTTATATATATATATATATATATGTATGGTACGTTTGTATATATGTCGGAATTGGACAATAAATAATGTTGGAACGTTTATTAATTTATATTTGAATGTTCGAACAATTTTGCAAGCATCTTATATTGAAACATATAAATAACATAGTAGTATTTCTAATTGGAAAAATATTTTATATTCAAACGAGTAACATACTATTATAGATATATATGTATATTATTGTCATTTTTCAATAAAAAAGTAATCAATATCTCATATATAT